CCTATATGTACATAAATAAAACAAATCGAGTATTTTAAAAGTTTTAGTTTATCTTGAGGCTTATGAAGGTTATCAATGAGATTTTTTTAATTATAGAAAATAATCTGAATTTAAAAATAAGCATACAAAAGGCAACAATAAAGAACTGAAAATTAAAAAAAAATGTATTAATGTCTGTAGAATAGAAATATACGTAGATACTGGCCAAGTCACAAACAGTACAGTCAGTGTTACATAAGCATGTATTACTTTGTGGTTATCGTTACGGTGCATATCAAATTATAAATTGTAAAAATAATTTTAGTGCGAACATATTAACGCTCTTCGTCTATTAATAAGGTTTGTTGTACTTTACTCTGGTGCGAAGTGACTCTACTTGCTGTGCCAGCGGACGTGGGTTCGAGTACCGCTGGGGGCATTCATTTGTCTGATGAGCACGAATGTTTGTACTCCAGTCATGGGATTATATTTATAATATGTATGTATTTAAAGTTATATATGTGTAGTGTATCATTATCTGGTATCCATAACACAAGCCTCTATCGAAGTTCCATCCTCCAAGTTCCATCGAAATGGAATGAATCGTGCAGAAAAGCTGTGTACTCTTCTGCACGATTCATTCCATTTCGATGGAACTTTGCTATGTTATTGTGTGCACGCTCTCTAAGCTTTTTATCATAATAACATCAATGTACGAATATTTATATACATACGTACTTTATTATACGTAGCCAGCGTTAGCCATGTATATTTTAATATATATTTTTTTGATGATTTTTCCCGAGGTCATCTACAAGCTATACTGCTATTCGAGACGGAGACAAATACAACAAATCAAAGATCATAACAATTGGTCCAGCCGTTCTTGAGTTATAAGTCGTGTAACTAATCCGACTTTGTTTTTATAAATATATGTATAAAATAAATTTACTAGCATTAATCGAATCCTTTCCTTTTCCGATATCGAATCATAATTTACTTATTACTTTTAAAACCACTGTATACACGTAAACTTTTGCTCAATGTTATTGATAGGCGCTCGATACAAGTCGTTAATTAAATTTCTGCTATAATTATAATTGTCTCAACTTTATATAATTTCCAAAATAGTCTACATCTTAATTAATATTGATTTATTTTTAACTTCCTGACAAGATACTGTCTATAAATGACAAAAAACATAATGATACTTAAAATAGTTGTAAGAAATACGCAAAATTGTAATTTTTAACATTTATAATTTATATGAAAATACTGTGTAAATATAATTAAATGTTAATTATCCATGAATTTATATCATGAACCTTTTAAAGACGATATTTTTTTAATAATTCGAAATGTCAATGTCCTTTTTTTAATAGTAAGTATGTACCTAAGCATTTCTGGTACTCTAATAATAATTGACCTGAACGATTATATCTTTATTTTTTATCACTATGTCTAATTGAAAGATATGATAAAGTGAATTTTGCATACATAGTCTCAACTCTTCGATATGTTGAATAATCACATCATGTTTATATTTGATACTAGCGACTCACCCACGCTTCGCTTGGGTTCCTCCCTACCTTGATTCCCCATACACACTTTCATCCCCATTTTCACCCCCTTAAGGGATGACTTCCGGGATAAAAAGTATGCTATGTCCTTTCCAGGGTCTCAAACTATCTTCTTATCAAATTTCATCTAAATCGGTTCAGTAGATCCAGGGATTACCCACCACAACGTCACAAACTCACGATCTCACATATTCAAAAATTTTACCTCTTTATAATATTAGTATAGACTAGCGATGGGTGATGGATAGGTGATTGTTTGAATTGACATAATCGATTGAAATAAAACAAATACTAAATGTTAAGTGAAGCTAACCACAATACATTTGTAAAAACTGCACCCAAATCGGTTAAGCCGTTTCTGAAATTAGCGCGCACAAACGCGAATAGATAAAAATTCTAAAATTATTGTTTTGGGGTCGATTCTGTTAATAGAGACCTCTAATAATAGTTTTTTGATCGCTGTCTGTAAATATTTAAATATCTTCCATATACAGACAACAGTCAATTACACTATTATTATATGTATAGAATATATCTTACATTAAGAAGGAAAAGAATAGGCGTATATTACCTGAATCTTAAATACTATATTCTCCTCAAAAATTGAATCTACTGCTTACATATTAGATGGTAAGTCATGATGCGTCTTTACTATAAGCCATTTTAATATTTTATACTATGTAATTAAAATTCTTCATATTGTAAATCCATATTATTTTTAATCTTACAAATCACAGTGCGAGTTCGTTATTGCTTGTAAATAAGCTTTCAACTGTGTGTTTTTTAATGAAGTGATAAATAAAATGGGATTTAAAAATAATATTTTCTGAGATATCTGTAATAAAGAACGTCATGACTCTCCCTTATGATAGCTTTACGATGAAATAAAAGTAAATTCAAAATATTCGTATTTAAGTCGAATTTATGATGCAATTTTAATTATTCTGAGGAATATATATATATATACAATATACGTACGGAAATTTAAATATATTTTTATTCGAGGTAGGCTTCGCTTGATACTATTACAATTTTTATTTTAAAAGGTAATAAGTCCTTCATATTATGTTATTTATCACTCTACATTAAATAATTAAATCACTTTTGTTATTTATCTGTTAATCTAATCTGTCAAGTGTTTATTTTTATAAAATATGTAAAAGTAAGCGTGTTGCGAAATTTTTATACTGTCGAATTGGAATTATTAAACTCAATATCAATTAATTCTTATTACTTACTTTAGTTTTTTTAACTGCATATATCTATGTAGAATCACTATTTTATTGATTTCATTATTAGCAATTTTAGTCATACTAATTTATTGATTCAAAAGACTTTAAATTGCAAATTTTTTTTTTAAACCTGACTGGTAATTCCATACATTAGCGCGACCATTTTTTTTTGTAGAGCCTACATCCTTATAATAACATTATTAGTATAAATATTCATAAAAATAAAAAAAATAAGATAAAAAATAGTAAGCAATTTTACCCAAAACAAAAATATCTCGAATCTGTGTGTTTTGACATTCTTACCTATTTTGGACAATTTACCTTAGTTTTACGGTTCTCAGCATCGAACTATTGTATCACCTCAGTTTCCCACGACCTTATAATATTTAATAGAGTGCATGAATCAATAAAAATACAGATCATCTATATATAATAATGCTGTATTTCCAAAGTTTGACCTTTTTCTACCTATAAGAATACCACTAGATGATAACATTAACCTTTGGCAGATGCATTAGTATAAGGTAATTATTATTAATTTGTATTAATATATCACTTTTATATAGATTACTTCACCAGGAAGATGGTCAAATGATGATAAAAAATGTTTATCAAAATTCATAGCTAAAAATTATCATAATATCACTTCCTTATTAATCTTTTTAAATGTTTTTTTTATTGCAATATGTTCAATTTACCAACTGTCAATAAATTTAAAAACTTAAGGAGCGCGTAGGTCGAGGTGTCGTCTGCTTTTTAGGTATTATCGATGCAATTCTTTTGAAGAGATTTAACCTTTTTAAAAACATAATTTCATATTTAATATATGAAAATGATATTCGATAATCCTAAATGATATTGCATTAACGACGTTGCAAAAAACCTAACCAATGGGGTAGTAAAGATAAATTTAATTGAATATACTTAAATAGGAAGTTTTGTAAATTAACTCGTATGTAATGTCAAAAAACATAAATACTCGTGGAAATTTAAATTTACAATTGTGTTTTAATTATTTATAATGATTAAATTAATTAAGGTAGTGGTAGCTCAGTGGTAACGAGCTCGCTTGGGAAACCGAGTAAAGAGGGTTCAATCCCTAGTCTCGCATCTCTGATATTTTCTTGTGCGAAACCTGCATGTCTGAGAGAACTTGAAGTAGTAAAAGGAGGCCCTTGCCCAGCACTGAGACGTTGAAATACGAATAGGATTAAATAAATTACAATTTTTATTTGCTGAAAAAATAAGATTACTATAAATAATAATTAGCTTCATATAAACTTGTTTTGAAACTTTTACTTCAGCCAACTTGAGTTATTGCAGGTTTGATGTATTTAATCAGCAAAATTCAAATTCCTCTGATGTTTTTTTATGTAGTAAACGTTCGGACGGACCGTCGCAATACCTCGCATATATATACTTACAAGACTTTCTTATTTATGTCTACGGCTTATCAGATCAACATATTTGTCAACTGCGTGGGAGTTTAGGCTTTTTATTACTTAAAATAAAGTTTATTTGCAATGGGGATTGGTATTATTAACAAATACAAGCAATTAACTTGAGAATCTTAACGTCAAATTATCTTCAGTATATCTTTTATATATGTATATTTTATTTAATAATAGAATTTTTATTGCATTATTCCTTATGATTATTTATGTAAAAGCTTTAAAAATGTGATTAAGCTTGTAATTGTTCAATGTTTCTTTCTTCATATTGGAAGGAATGTTTAAAATTGTGAATAATGTTACGAATGCTCGTTTACAGTTGCATCTTCACCCAAAACGAGATAAATTGAGAAATTTTTATAGAGTAATAAAATACGTTTTAAAGACATTCACGATGTAAATATCGCAATGCTTGAAATGTTTTACTTTGACTTAATAATACATAGATCATATCAATAAATTTACATTTTATCGAGCGCTTTATACTATTTTTATAATTATTAACAAAATAGCAGATAAAGTGGTAATTGACGAGTGATGTAAACCATCACAAGGACTTTAACAATACGGACTTTTTGATTTTTCCCTTTAATTTTAGTTTTGGTTTGCTTTGGTTCAATGTGCGGCGATCACAATAGACCAGCAATGGTCTTAGTCATATTCTATAGCCGCAACAAAGAAAAAAAACTACTCACTATAAAAAAAACAAACAATCCTTGACCTCTATAACAAATGTTAAAGTAAGTATAATAAACAATATGAGGTACACATATTATTTGTACTTTGCACTTCCTTACATCCCTATCATTAGTAAAACACGAACCTTCCTCACATTCAGTAAGCTATAACTAGAGATCTGATAACTCCTATTGTGATTGTTACGCTGTTTTAACAATGGCATTGCAGCGAGAATCTCGCTGAGGCAATAGTAGCTGCGTATGTCAGAGTAAGATTAATGTTTCTGGTCATCATTGAAAAATATCCAATTTATTTGCAAATATCCTTATTTATAAAACTCTTCAATATACGTTTTTTTATCTTTTATACTTATTTTATGTTTTAGAATTATATATTTGCATGTTTTCATAGTACGGAGGTAAAATTTAGCGAATTAACAAACTTATTTTATAGAAATTTATTATAATTTCTAATAAATTTTAGCATTATCTATGAAATGAGCTCGCGGTTATTGCAGAGCATTAAAGCAAAGGGGATGCAGATAAAAATGACGACGGGCTCGTACTCAAATTTAACCTCCGGACGATAATTTATTGGTTTTCGCGCAGTCATTTTTATCTGTTATTCCTCTCCCCACAGAGCTCGCGAGGCAGAATGTTATCACCAAGCAGATTTTAGAGGCTTTCATACAAAAGAAGTTAGGACTCGCCAGTACTAACCTAAGAGCACCTTCTATATTTGACATCCTGCCAGCGAAAAAACCGGAAGATAGAACGACGAGGCAGTCATCAGAACAAAGCTTAAAAAATCCTCCAGAAAGCTCTGGAGAAGTGATGGAAGACTCAGAAATGTTAGATGATTCTGAAATGACAGATGATTTGGGAACGCCAGAAGATCCGGAAATACCCGAGACACCTGTACATTATGCAGAAGACGACAGCTTACAGAGCGTCGAGAGTGAACAAATAGACTCCATATATTCTGAAGGTATCATTTGATTCTGTACCTTCTTTTATCTTATTTAAAAATCTTCTCTAAGGCAGTCTTTATGTTTAATACTTCAAATTAATTTTAAATAAGACTATAATATTTCTGACGACATTTCTTTGTGTATCTATTTTATTACTTCATATATTTCACAGTATCTTTCTTCTAAGTCAAAGCTCTTTTATCTCATTTAAATCTCCATATTATTATTGATCCGGACATTCTCTATCGCTATTAAGTCGTCTTTATGCTAAAGTATAGTTTTTTATATTATATTAATTATCATGCATACACGATACAGTTGATGCTTTAATTAAAATACTGGCCATTATTAAAATAAAATTAGCATCTTCATAAGACAAATATATCAAATCTCATTTAAGACTCTTGTGTTTACTTTACTAATCCATTTGTTAAATATTTGCTATAATAAAACGGTATGTAATGTGCCTATTGAGTGTATAACCTTAAACGTTTATCTAACTATGTACTCTACACGGTGGTTGCTGAATGTTGATCTAAACCAGCTATACTCAACTTGCGGCCCGCCGGGCCTTTGTTACTGGCCCATCTGAAGTTACATCTCAGAGTTGGCTTCCATTTTAAATTGCCATTACTCAGAGTTGTTTGATGAGTTCATCGATTTTGAAAACGGTACCAATCTAAAATTTCTGTTTAAAGAAAAAAGGGAAAATAGACCATGACTGAAACGTGTTTGTGGCCCCTATAAAAAAGGTTGAGTATGGCTGATTTAAGCACTTCTTGGCAAATGCGGAGCGTGTGTGAAAATATTGCACGTAGTGCCAGAAGTTGCGAAAAATCCGTACGAACCAGTCACGTCACACAGTTTGCTAAGTACCTCTAATTTTTAGTATTTCATGCTTTGTTTTTCTACAACCTCAGATATAATATACATATTTGAATGTCAAGGATTTCTGTTGTATATGATTAAATTAAACGAATATATATGTACATATAATATTTACTTAAATATCTGAAAAATGTTGTTATATAATTGATTCATATATAGAAAAATTATTTGGCCTTTTATAAAATCATTTCATTTAATTTTTTAATGAGGCTTTTAGTAGTTTATAATGCCTACCACAAATGATATTAAAATAATAAATAAGTAATTCAATTCAATTATCCTATTAATGGCTTCAAAGCGCGCCAGTAGAGCACAGTTAATTATATGAATTAGTATAAAATTATAAGTACTTATGTCATTTCAAGCTTCCATTCATAATACATAAACATATCTTTTAATTATTTTAACTTTCTTAATCTTGCAGTTTGGAGCAACTTCAAGCCCGATTTTTTTTAATTATCAGCATTTATAACTTTTTATAATTTAAAATATTAAACAATATGAAGAAAATCCTGTTAATAATATAAATATGGAAAATTTTAAATTTTTGGATATATTTTGTGACTCATTAGCATCTAAACGGTTTAATCGGATATGATAAAACTTGGCACACAGATAGATAATATCCTGGACTAATAAATAGACTATGGAAGTTTTCGAAGCCCATGGAATGATTGTTTAAACTTAAATTTATTTTAACAATTTTTTGCAACAGATGGCGCTCCTCATTTGAAATAATAAAAAAGATAGCCGACAACAACAACAACTCAATTAGTGTTAATAGTATTATATTAGCTCATTATTTTAATATTATTCAAAATATATTATTTAAAATTCGTTAACCTGCCATTATATCCTATTGAAAAATACTTAAAATAAAAAAAAAGATAAGAGAGTATGAACTATGAAGCGTTGTACTCGTTCATTCTTTCCTTGTATATTTTTTGTTACTTTTTTTTCTTCACTTATTTTTTCTATGTACACAAACACTTATTTTTTCTATATACACAAATACTAAAACACTAAAACAATGTACTAACGCTTTTTTACATTTTTATTGTCTGTTTTAAAACAAATGAACCCTTTTATTATACTGTTCATCTTGGTGTGTATATTACCCAAACTTCGTCAATCGTCTTGGTTTTCTTGATGTGTCCTTCTAAAAAGCAGGACTGGTACAGCAAGAGTTGAAGGGCAACCAGCCAATAGGCTAAGTATTGAGCTTTAGCATTTATAATTTGTTAATTTAGGTAACCTACATATAATAGGAACAAATAAAATAACTGGTATTGACGCAATTTTAATAACTTTTTACATAACGACAATTTTTTGTATTTAGCTACATAATTTATGATTGTCATCGAGAGGTTATTCCACTAACAGTCGCGACATTTAATATCGACCTTGGCAAGGTCGATGCTACAGATATTCTGGCAGTATAGATTATCTGGTTGTTCATAGACAGACGTTTTTTATTATTTTAATTAATTACGAGTATTGCCCGCTGCTCCACCCGCGTTTAGATGACTAAAAACCAAATTCTTAGGTTTTACATATTAGTATAATCTTAGACTTAGAAATGAGATATTTTCCCGTGGTAAAAATTATCCTATATGATGACTCGGATAACCAGCTATCATCATACCAAATTTTATCAAAATCTTTCCAGTGGTTTTCTCGTGATGCGGTAACAGACAGCCAGACAGACAAAAATTCTAAAAACTATAGATTCGGACTCTGTATCGATATAACTGTCTATTTCCATTAGATTTTCCAAAAAATATTTAATGTACAGGTTCGACTTAGTTACAATTTTATTATATGTATAGATTTCATAGAAACATACATTTTAAATTTAATGATCAGCTCATATTATGTAAAATTACAATAACGAGATAAATAAGAATAATGTGCTTGCAATATGTAATTTTTTATTTGGAATTAAAAATGTACCTAATAAATTCAATATGAAAATTGAATATCGTCTTAAACTTGTTCTGTTTTCGATTAAAAAATTTTTGCTTCTAATTTTTTTTGTCATTACTAAAGTCATTATCTCATGGTTGTAATATCATAAGTAAGCTTAACAAATAGATTGATTTCACTAAAGATTAATGTGACATTATGACAGATATAAATATTTCATCATAAAAATACCATTAAGTAAAAAAATAAAATGAAAAATAATATTTTAATACTAATGAAGAAAAAATACCGTTACGTTTCGACATCATCGGTCGTTGTACCCTCGTAATTTTTTTAAGCTTATAAAAATGAAATCAGATAACACAAAAATAGATACGAAATTTATCTCATAAATTAATTAATATCAATAAAGTCCAGAATTCCCAAGAATAGTATAAAGTTAAAAAATTATAATATTTAAATTAGATATTTTTAAGTAGTAACATAGACACTAGACAGGTTTTAATGTATCGTTATGATTATACACAAAAGAAGTATAAATAATATATAATTTACATATTTAACTAAGTAATTTAAAGAAAAAGTATTAATATATGTTAGTGATTTGTATCTCATTTAAGAAAGTAATAAAGCTTTAAAAACGTATTGCATAATTATTTCAATTTTTTAGTAATAACTATTAATTATGCAAATAACAAATTATTAAACAGAGGACGAATAGCAAATTATCAATTCTAAAAAAAAAGTTAGTTTTAATGGAATAAGCTCGAAGGAACAAGTTAAGCAGGTGACATTTTCCGCGTTTATGGCTTGGCGATAATTTTGACCAGTCGAATCGTTAAAGCTAGCATTCATTTTATAGGCGGACAAATTCTGCTTCTTTTTCTTCAGTATACGTAGATTTTAAAAAACTCGCTCGACTTTCCAACCAACTCAAGTATAGTAGGTATACACAATGTAGTATACATTTTATAAAAATTAATAGTTATTTTATAACATATCTGAATTGATATAATTAAAAAAAACTTTTGTCATTAATACTTTCTTAGATTTACGCGAATGTTTGACATTTTTAAATAATACTATCTTTTCGGATTATTTCGCGAATTTATTTTGATTTTTGGTTCCCGGTTGGTTAAGTCTCTCCCGTGACCATGGATGCTGTAAAGCATTCGAAACGTCGGTAACCAAAAATCAAAATAAATCCGCGAAATAATCCGAAAAGATAGTTTTATTTTGTCATTAAATTCATTTTTTTCATACTAGGGGTTAGACTTACAAAAATAGAGACCTTCGTATGCGCGTTTGTAGTTGTTAAGAATCACATATTAGTAATAAAAATTATCTAAAACAATTTTTAAAGCGTTTAATTAAATGATATAAAATAAACAAAAAATCAGTTGAGAGCAGAAGAAAATATATGTCAATAGGGGAAACCACGATGTAATAATGTAAGACTTATTGGACGATACTCGTGTCTTTAGTAATACTTAAAATATCTATTAATTGTGCAAATTTTATTTTTAATATATATTTTTTCTACTTCTAACTTCTTAAGCTTAACAATCAAAAGCATTATTAGAATGTAGAAACAAAAATTCAAATACAATCTACAATAATACGTTTTAGCAAAGTGCGTCGCAGTTTATGTGGAACATAGAATTCACCAATTTTGATAAGGTCGAGTGTTAAAAAAATCTATTTTATTATACTTCTTTGTATTGAGTTAGATTTCAAATTAGGCATCCTTGACATGATGACAGAATAAGCATAAATTAAGAATTTTGCATATTATGTTAGGTTCCTTATATGTTTAATTCAAAATTAAATTGTACATATATAATCATTTAAATAGTTATCTATATAATAGTCTTAAAACATGAAAACTTGATATATTATTCGTAGATTCTGTGATAAAAGTATTTTAATAATTTTTTTTTGCTGTCTGTACCAGCGAGTATGGGTAAAGATAGCGATAGTGTGCGATTGATGCGAAGCTATTTATTCTATTCTCTAAATGTACGATCTATTAATATTGATATCTTTAGGTATATATAACCAAAGCTAAAATAGCTAGTATATAATCTTAGTAAAAAACAGAAATGCTACGCGTATGCCTGTTTTGTATTTTTTTGTTTAAGTTTTAAGACATTTGTATTTTTCATTCATTACCTACACATTCATAATTTTATAGCATTTTTATTGTGATGT